GACAGACACAGACACAGACACAGACATGAAAACCCAGAACATCATTTTTTTTATGAATTAACTAAAATTCCACAGACAGACACAGACACAGACAAATGACATTCGGAAACCCCAGAGCATCATTTTTTTAAACTGAATTAACTAAAATCCCACAGACAGACACAGACACAGACAAATGACATTCGGAAACCCCAAAGCATTTTTTTTTTAATTGAATTAACTAAAATCCCACAGACACAGACACAGACAAATGACATTCGGAAACCCCAGAGCATCATTTTTTTTAAACTGAATTAAACCACAGACAGACACAGACACAGACACATGACATTCGGAAACCCCAAAGCATCATTTTTTTTTAAACTGAATTAACTAATACACAGAGACACAGAGACAAATGACATTCGGAAACCCCAAAGCCTCATTTTTTTTAAACTGAATTAACTAAAATTCCACAGACAGACACAGACACAGACACATGACATTCGGAAATCCCAGAGCATCATATCTTTTTTTTAAACTGAATTAAAATGTACGATTATTATCATGATGTCTGTGTCATGATGCACTAGTGAATCTATTGATGGATATAACAAGTATGATTCAAAATTATTCCACTGAAAATAATATATCTCTGTGGTTATGTATATATAATTTAGTATTCAGAGTCACGTCTGAGAGCAATAAGGGCTGTTCTATGATTCAGAATGTTTAACTTTCGCTCTTATGGAGTTTAGCATGTTACCTGATTATCTATTTAAATTTCTGTGTATATTATACATTATTTACTATCGTTCGGTTTATATTATTCACAATTATCCGTTTATCCACCCACACGTTTTTTTTTTTGTTATTTTTTTTCAATTTACTATTTTCGGAATTATGATCAGTTAATAGTTTTTTTTCTTTAACAAACTGTGACACACAAAAAAGAAAAGAAAATCCAATTAATTTTCATTCGTGCCAGTCAGAGAGGCAGATAAAATGTGGAATTTAATTTATAAGATTATCAGCGATATAATAATAACTATTAGCATATACTTCATAGGCTTCACTTATATAACGACAAGCCACTATGAAGAATAAGCAAACTATTTACTAAATTTTCCAAAAAACAAAAAATTGCGTTCAATGAAAGAAAGGAAGAAAGGAAAGAAGAAAAGAAAGAAAGAAAGAAAACCTCGATGTCAGAAAATGGCAGCCATATTGGACCGAAGCTTCTGCGCGTGACGTCAAGATGGCGCTGAACGACATCGCAAATTACCTCAAAAGAAACGGAGGCTGAAAATGGTATTATGAGATTTCAATTTCATTCTCTATCTCTATCTCTCGTCCGTATTATCACGGAGGGAGGAAAGTAGCGGCTCCGTTCACAGGAAGACATTGTGGGTAATATATTTCGATATATTTATCCATCTAATTTTCTTTCCTTCAGTTGTTCTCTTCTTTACTATTTCAGTCTCTTTTAAGGAAAATATGATTAGGTTGATCTGCATCATTGAAAAGAGAATCTATATAAGCAAGAGAGTAATTAATGGGCACAAAATATAGATGATTGCTTAAAACATGGCAAGGAATCCTCCGTCATAAAGCCTCATTGCTTAGAGTGTAGCGACTAAGACCACAAAGGCGTAAAACCGCTCACTTTCGCCAATTAACCGCTAACTTCCGTCATATAACCGCTTGTTTTGCCAGTTAATCGCTGGCTTTCGGCATAAAACTGCTCATATTGCTGATTATTCGCTAGTTTCCGTCGTAAAACCGCCCACTTTCGCCAATCAAGCGCTAGTTTCCGTCGTAAAACCGCTTACTTGCGGCAATTAAGCGCCAACTTCCGCCGCATAAGCATCACTTACGCCAATTAATCGCTATCTTTCGTTGTATAACCGCTCACTTTCGCTTCAGACTACTCACCCACTTATTTTACCTCCGAAACGCCAATTTAGTCGCCAAACCGCCCGTTTCAGCCGCTGCGCCTCAAAATCCCGCTGCAAAACCCTTAATTTCGCCTCCAAACCGCTAATTCCGCGGAGAATCCCCGACACTCCGACATTACGAAACCTAGCGACTAAAACCGCTCCATTTTCCCTTCCTCCTCCCGAACGCAAGCTGTTTTCACACGATCAATAGCAGTGTCCTTATTGTGCAGTCTATAGAGGCGATATTACCATGCCGCTGATTGTTATCTAACCTTGACAGGTGGCGATGTCAGGTCACAAGGCAGATACCTGTCCCCGCGGCCTGCCCGCATTCTCGATGGTCACGCCCAAGATATGCTTTCATCTGGTATGGATCTTTGGTGATGGTGACGAGGATATGGGTTGATGATACATGCATGCGGATACACTGCTAATTGTATATGTGGGAGAGTTCTTAAATGAAGATCCATATAGTAAATAGCTGATCGTTCTAATATATAAATGTTATACTCATACATACATACATCATATATACTACTCATATCTAATTCATAGTACATATAGTATGGTATGTATCTAGT